GTGATTCGCCTATTATGGTTTAAGGCTTAAAACCCTATTGTAGATCCAGGGTTATGGCCATTATAAATCAAGTTTAACAGAAAGCGCGGAAGGCCTCTGATTGGTTACGCGAAACGCGGAAAATATCAACCCATGTAATCACACCCTTAGGGTTGATTTATAATAGGCCGTAATCTGTTAACTTTTTCCGTAATCTGTAAGAATTGACCAATCACAGTCGAATGAGAGGAGAATAATCAACTATGATTGGTCAATTCTTATAGATTACGGAAAAAGTTAACAGATTACACGGCCTATTATAAACTAACCCTTATTAAAGGGTCTCTAGTCTCGCTTCTCGCTTTCTCATTCTGGCTGTGTTCCAAAATTCACTGGTAGTGCTGACAATGTATAGTATACGTGATGTAAACTGTAGATTTTCAGCGCTGGCAGTAAATTTTAGAACACAGCCCTAGTTGGCCTGGTTTCTTGCTGCCATGTGACAAATGCAGGCAAGTGCGGGCAAGTGTGCTGTGTGAACAAGTGCGAGAACTGAAAAGGAAGGAGAGATAATCTTCTAGTTTAAAGAAAACAATTTAATGCGGAGGAAAACTTTGTCCGGAACATCTTTGAATAGACAAGATTGACCGCGTGTATATGAAAAAAATATATATGTATAATATATAAGGACTTTAATAAGGCAGTGTTTACTTATAGGATTTGCCACTTTGATTTCAGACGAGTTCGGTGAGCATTTGTTTCACAAATCAATCAGACTCGATAACTAGAGGCCTGTTCTTTTTGGCTGAACTTTTGCACCAGTTCATCTTTCTTTCTATTCTTTCCTCCTGAAGAGAAAAAGAAGAAAGATGAACTGGTGCAGAAGTTCAGCCAAAAAGAACAGGCCTAATGATTGACTATTCAGAACGAAGCCGGTTTGTTTAGTTCGTTGAACTGACACGTTGTGTTGTACTTCACATGTTACACCGCGCATTTTCCGAGTGTAACTATATGTATTATGTATATGAGGGAGATAGGATAATCGTTGTTTAATTTCACAGAACGCAAAAGAACGGAGTAGTTAATTGCTTCATTCGTACAAGCGGATGAAACTCGAGTAATCACACAAACGTTACGTTCTTATTCTATCATGATTCGATCGAGTCTCGTATTAATTTTTGTCATCGCTACTTTGCACGTTACCGTTGGTGATGACTGCAAAGGATGTGTGCCCTTGGATTCATATTCGTTCGATAAGGTATGAAAAGCTTTTAATTTTATTCAGAATTTCAATGTGAAATAGTATAAACCAAAATTCTCAAAATTCTCAATTTATAACTGCGTATAACGAACAAAATATGTATTAATATATCTATGAAATTTCCTCTTTTATACATATGTGTGTGTTGTGTGCATATATACATATATATATGTAAGTGTATGTGAGATTTAGATTAGGAAAATTTTTTTTATCTAAATTGGATAAAGAAAGGCTAATGAGTCGAGCTGGATGATAATACTCGTTTCAAACAATAAAATATAAACGTCACAAACGTTTCGACCTATTAACACGACATTTTAAATCATTTATAACTGTCCTGTAAATCGAAACATTGCGATATTTATATTTTGTTTTCTAGTATTAAAGCAAGTAATGTCATCCAGTTCGGCTTATTTGCTTTTCTTTATTCAATGTTTATTTATAATCTTTTGAGCCTTGTTTAATTTTTTTCTAATTTTATTTGTTCTCATTAGCATCTAACTTGAACAAATTAATGATTAAAATTAAAGATAAAAATTGTTAAAAACTTCATCTTATATAATTAAATAACTTTGCAACATATATATAACTTGGCATCGTATATACACACATATGTGTGTGTGTGTGTGTGTGTGTGTGTGTGGGTGTGTGCAGCATAAATAGATGTATTTGCTTTGTGAATTTGAGAAAAGTATAAAGACTAAGAAGTAAAGAACAAGAAAATTCAACCAATTTTTATTATTTTTTAACCATCAATCACGTTAGCAATCACGTTTCATTACCATTATACTTTTCTCAGATTCACATAAGCATCTTCTATTTACGACTAAGATATCAGTTTTTTTTATCAAATTCCAATAAATCGACTGAATATTGACATACACTTCCTGTAATATAGAATTTTATATTTTAATGCTATGAAATTTATTATTTTCCATAATTATGTACAAAGTTATGATTGTAAATATATTACAATTCAAATATGTCAAATTTATAAGATGTAATTATAATAAAGTCAATAAAGTCTTCTTATGAAAACTAAATTGGATTTGATATTTCTTTTTATAATATTTGTATATTTTATGACTATATTGCACATGAAAAATTGAGAAACTGTCATTCTACATTCAATCTCGATATGAAGTATATGAAGATATTTAGATATATGTTACGATGTATACAAATTTTTTGTTAATTTATTTTTGTAATTTTTGTATTTCATGCAGGTTATTCCCAGATTTAAGGCAGTTCTCGTTAAATTCGATGTTGCATTTCCTTATGGTGGCAAGCACGAACAATATGCGACCATAGCAGCTGATACCAAAGATTCACAGGATCTCCTGATAGCTACAGTGGGCGTAAAGGATTTTGGCAATAAGGATAATTCTGATCTAGCGCAACGCTACAACATTAAGAAGGATAACTTTCCAGTAGTTTTATTATTCGTACAGGGCAAATCTGAACCAATTAGATTCACTCCTGAGAGAGAATCTGATTTTACGGGCGAATACTTAAAGCGATTTATCAGATCTAAATCGAGAGTGTACTTAGGATTGCCAGGATGTGTGGAACGACTAGATAAATTAGCTGAAGAATTCAAAACTGCAGGAGAGCAAGGCAGGCAGGTAAGAATTTAAAAAAAATTAACAAGACAATATTATATTTCATTGAATTGTGCTAAAATAGCTGTGTTATAAGCATATTTATTTGAAAATATTTAAGCTAAGATTGAAATATAATTCTATAGTTTTATTTTCACGTTTGTTTATCATTAAACTCTCTCTATGAAGTATGTTTATTCTTTTTCCTAGGAAATACTAAAGAAGGCAAGAATTTTTGAGGAGACTTTACCGGAAGAGCAACGAGAGGCAGCAAAAATTTATGTGAAGACTATGGAGAAGATCCTAGAACGGGGAGATATATTTGTACAAACGGAAGAAACGCGGGTACAGGGGCTTCTTTATAGAGGAAAGTTGTCTGATCAAAAGAAGCGTACAATGGAAGAGAGACGAAACATCTTGCAATCTTTTTCAGCGAGGGACGAGTTGTAGAGGGTTTAAATTATAATACAATAATCACCCAAATAACGTCTAGCAATCAAATTTGAGTCCAAGTATTGAGATTGTTGCGCTATTTTGAATTATTCCACATGCTTGTTTTGTAAAAGTAGCGATAGAAATAGAAATCAGGCGCGCACGTATGAGAGCGGTACATTCTATTTTCTATTAAATGAATGCTACCATATTTACTTTAATTATTTTGTATTCCTTAGTCTATTCCTCTGTGATGAAATGTTTCTTACGCTTTGTGTTCTATTGGTGTAAAATACAAAATAATTTATTATATAATGCCATATTGGCACGCAATTATATAATTTCTGAATTATAATTAATTCATTTAAAATGAATTTACAATAGTTCAACATCTTAACGTTCTGACCGTTATGGCGCTTCTTAATTTAAAACAAAATGATTTGTTATTTCATACGATTATTATTTTTTGCTTTCATTTTTTATACAAAATAAAAACGAATATAAAGTAAATTAGGCACAATAAATATTAAAAATACACGATTCTCGTATCCAAGAGGATATCGGTCGTTTGTCAAATCGATTATTTAATACATTACTGCTCATGTATCCGAAATAGTCTCGTTGGGAGCTGAGTCGGTTTCCGTCCCTCTAGATTCCACATAATGGAGCCATTGACAATGACCAACGACCATCAAATAAAAAAAAATGACTATTGTCGAATTCCTTTCATCTTTTTTGATTTATAGTCATTTTTTTACACACTTAATAATTTTTTTACGCATTTAATAATTAATTAAAAATCTCAAATTACACGGATCCAATAGACAGGGAACGTATGTTAAATAAATTTCGTATTTATTACATAAAACGCAGTGTAGATAAAAAATTAAAAATATTCTCTAAGAAAATGAAAGATAGATAGATTGTGGATTAAGAGGTTATATATACATATATATATTATATATCATAAACAAAGTAGACGAATCTCATGATCAATTTTATATCGATTATTGTATATGTATACTCTTTCAACATACTATTCATTCTTCTTAAGGGAAACATACTGCGCAATCATTAACTATAAAGAAACATGTGATATAATGCATAAATTATCTTTGTGAAATAATGAACAAATAAAAAGCAAAAGGCTGTCTGTTTGTAAAACTGTCGTTGTATTTATTCGTTTCTTGCCAAAGAGAATCAACATACATTCCTTCATACACATTTTTTCCAGTACAAATGCAATTTCACATGAATTTAACATTAAATGTGTGTGTGTATGTGTGTGTGTGTGTTTGTGTATGTATGTGTGCAAAGTTAAAAAAATCACAGATATGTTCATACAAATACAGTTTTATCGCTGTAAAATTTAATAAGCTTTTTCATAATATTATTGCTAAAAATGTACCTATGTTCAATCTTCAAACAATGGCATATAATACTGCCATAACGTCTGTCGTAATGTCAGAATGTGTCTTGATAAACTATATATATATATATATGTGTATGTATATTTTCGTGTCACCGAATACAATTATTGCTTCTCACCTTCGTCTTTCACTTTTAACTTTGCGATCTCGTTGATTATTTTTTCTTCATTCGTTATTACTTGTTTCTCTTCTGTCGTTTCGTTCTCGATATCCTTTTGCTGAGAAATCGCTTCACGGTCTTCAGTCCGCTTCAACGATTTCGTTTGGTCTTCGTTATCAGTACTTTCGCTATAACTTACATCACTGCTGGATTCGCTGTCACTTTCAATACGCTTTTGTTCCAAATTGCTTTTGCCAGCATAAATCTCACATTCAGATCCTACAATCTTCTTAGCTTTTTCAAACGCTTCCTTCCACATTGATGCATCTATCACAAACAAATAAATATTCTACGATATTATTATGATACTATTAGCGATAATACAGTTTGCGATAGTTATGCTTTATACATAAAAACTATAACACAGCACTTGAGAACTCACTTTCAGCATTTGCAAAACGTATCGCAAGTAATTCTGGCTTGAGTTGTTCATCAGCGTAATCGGCAAGTACGCTCCAAACCCATGCTCTATCACTGCCGCAATTTGGTTTCAATTCCATCCATGGAGTGATGAAATGATTCGCACAGATCTTGAGAGTTTTATCTCTGCGCATCACTACTCTAACTGTATTTTTCGTTTTGTGTCTTAGTAGTTTGACTTCTCCTGTGCCACGTTCCTTCCATTCCGCAGGATTGCTCGATGTATCATAACGATATAACTTTGCCCGTCTAGAAAACAAAAACATACAAAAAACATACGTGTTGTTAATTGTTTCCTTTAAAATGAAAATCCTCATTAACCCTTAGTTTTTGACACCCTTACTATACATAATGGATCTTTTGTGTTCTGGATTAATTTTTTCCCATCACTTTTATAAATATATAAAAATTATAAGCGATTTTTACATATATTTTGACATCTTTAGAAAATACTTGTACAGTTATATATTTATAACAAATTGTATATAAATTGTTATAACTAAATATAGTTTACAAAATGAGAAAAGTATACTTTTTCATACAAAGATGTAAAACTCTGAAACAAGTGTTCAAAGGAAAAATATATGTTTCAACATCTTAAAGTTTACATTCCAAACTACAAAAGAAAAAATAATTCAAGTATTGGTGATTGAAAAAATTTAGTTATTTAGTAACCTGAAAATTTTTTTTTAATATACATGAATGGCTATAAATTGAAGATATATTGCATTTACATTTTAAACAATGTATTTTATTATTGTTATTGTTATATTTATTGTTATTGTTATTATTGTTATTGTTATTATTATTGTTATTGTTATATTTATTATTTATTAGGAAAATATTCTTTATAACATTACAGACAACATATAACATGAGTGCCAAAAACCATCATATTTATTAAGGGCTAATATGTTGTTCTAGGATTAAATTCTTTTTTTAGTAATTCGCAAAATATTCCTGCAATACAAACAAGAATTAGTTGAAAATAAAGGAAGAAATAAAAATTTTTTTATAGTTATTTTTTTAGTTAGAAAAAATATGTACTCTGTACACACGATGGGTCATTTGTGACCCAGAGATAAACTTTGGAATTGTTCTAGTTAAAGGATATGCACAAATTGAGGCCGACAAGGCACAAAACTTAGCCTCTAGATGCCTTTTTTCAGGAATACTTTTTTTGGGAATAGAAGAGAAACTGGTATTTTTGACTAGGTGCTCTTAGTATTTCAAAGAAAAGAAATACACAGGACACAAATGGCCCAAAGGTGTGTATTAAGGGCTAACTTACAGCTTCAACATTTCTATCTCGTCTTCTTCATTGTTGGATACTTCTATCAGGGGTAATGAAATTATAGGTTCAAAATGGACGTCGTTGTCAATATTCTCTTCATCATTATCTTGAGGCGCACCATTTACGTCAATATGATCACCATTTAGCTTAAAAAAGAAAATAAATCACTTTTTTACTTTTTACAATAAATATTCCAATTGGAGTACGAGCTCGCAGTTAAAAAATATAAAATTTTTATTGAGGTTCTAAAAAATATAAAGACAGATGAATTAATTCTTATTCGTCTTCAAATATACACGAGAAAAAAACTGTAAAAAAATTGAAATGAAAATGTTATCGAAGAAAATATAACATCTATCCAAAACACACTCATTTCGAAATAATACGCAACATAACCTATTGTCCGCGACGCAATCATAATCGAACCGCACTTAATCGGCCGATCTAAATTTTACTTTAAATGAAAAACGTGAAAAGGGAAAAAATCCTGTTAAAAAAAATATGTACGTACCACGTTCTCCGGCATTTTTTGTAGATACTGGTTAGAAAACTATAAAGTGCTAAAGAAATTTGTACGCTCGCCGACAATCGCTGCAATCCGCTGCAATCGCGTACGTCTTTGAATGTTGGTATGTATGGTGATGTGATGCAGTATTGTTAGGCGAGTCACATTTTAGCGCATGCGCATTCCAGCGCTAGTGAAATCCAATAACGTACACAGAATAAATTTTAGTTCTTTAAGGCCGGAATCAGACTAGGCATTGAAGATTGAGATCGAAGATTGAAGATTGAAATTTGACCAATGAGAGTAAAGAAATTTTAGCTTCTATTGTTTTGATTGGTCAAATTTCAATCTTTCAATCTTCAATCTCAATCTTTAATGCCTAGTCTGATTTCGGCCTTAGTCTTCGGCAACCTAGTTATCGGTAAACATATAATAATTATATTTTTAAAATATGAATTAATATTACATTATTAAAACAAAAATTTAAATTAAAAATCTTTAATGACTCTGTTAAAAAAGAAAAATATTTGTTTTATTTTTTTTTATTTTTATACCTTATCTAACTTATTTCTATATGTACTTAATCTAATATTAATTTATATTTTAAGTACATGATTATTGTTTTCTTACGATTGAAGAGATGATTTACTCGAAGTTATGAAATTTATTTCATCACTATTCATTTTAAGAAGAAAATACATTTAGCCTTAAACTTGTATCTTCTTTTGCTCATATCTTTGGTTTTTTATCGAAATTTTTCTCATTTTATAATCCTTATTGATTTTCCAAAAAAATATATTATATACAATATATAATCTATATAGAATTATAGATACGTCAAAATAGGGCTTTACGGGATCTTTATAAGTTCGACATTAATACAGCACTGATGGCATGTCCAAACGCGCATGCGTCAAAAAGTGACTCGCCGAAAGCCCAGTGTCCACGATGCTAGAAATCCGTCCGAGATCTCGGATGAAGAAAGAATTGACCAATCGTATTGATCATGTGACTAAGTTTAAATGTGATTGGTTAATTCTTTCTCTCTCCGAGATCTCGGACCAATTTCTAGCATCGTGGACACAAGGCTTAACAACATTGATGTGATGTATGGTGTATCGTGGTTAATACGTTGATCGTGGTAGTCGTTCCATAAGGGCGCCGTTACATGCGGCGTAAAGACCATCAAGGCCACCACACGTACAAAAATTTTAGTCGTAATTGTAATGCGGGGTCTACAATAGAAGTCATAACGGTCGTAGGGTCTTAAGTCGTAGGAAATTGATCAATCATAGTTGATTATTCTTCTCATATTCGACTGTGATTGATCAATTTTCTACGACTTAAGATTCTGTGATTGTTACGACTTCTATTGTAGACCCCGCATAAGCGTAACCTGAGCATTCTTGTAATTTACTAGAATACGTTATTTTTTATTTACTAGAATACGCCATTCTGAAAGCCGGCATTCACATTGAGCGTATTTCGCGGAAGATTAGAGAAATGCGGAACTAATGCAACCAATTGCTGATTAGAATTTCTGTTGTATACTCTAACAGAAATGCTGAACGAATTTACGATTGGTTTTCGTAACCTACGCAACTCGAAAAATACGTCTCATGGGGAACCGGTACTTTCTATCGCGTACATACAATACGCATTTGTACAAATTTAGAAGAAGAAAGTCTGATTTATAATGGCCGTAACCGTTAATTTATGCCGGTGCCGGTAAAGTTCAACCATAGGATTTCAATGCTTTCGTTCATACTAATACGGCAAGTTTGTACTAAAGCTGGTTCTACATTAGTCGTAGCGCAGTGTCGTAAGCGTGTCGCAAGCGTTGTGGTCCAATCAGAATCAAGCTAGATCGATGTTGATTGGACTGCAACGCTTGCGACGCTACGATGCGACTAATGTAGAACCAGCTTTAAGCTGATTCTACATTGATCGCATCGTAGCGACGCAAGCGTGTCGCAAGCGTTATGGTCCAATCAGAGTCGAGCTAGCTTGACGTTGATTGGACTGCAATGCTTGCGATGTTGTGATGCGACTAATATAGAACCAGCTTTGAGCCCGTATCAGACTACCGACTCTGCAAGCCGACCCGACTGCCAACTCTGGCTATTAACCAATAATGGACCAATCACATTGAATCAGTCTTATTATGATTGGTCCATTATTGATCGACAGTCAGAGTTGGCAGTCGGGTCGGCCTACAGAGTCGGTAGTCTGATATGGACTTTAGGAGTTGTAAGCTTATTGGCTTCCGCGTCACATTTTGCCGCGCGGCAAGCATTTCCGCGTCCAGTGTGCAGGAGCCATAAGCGTTGCCACGTTCTGTGTGCACGAGCCATAAGTTGAAGCGATCAAAGTTGATCTACATTGATGGAAACGGGTATTAAGATGCTAATACGACTCTTTGATTGGTTCATGCACTATCTTAAGACCATCTCGAATCTTGAGCAACGTCTATGGATTCCTTTGAGACTCGAAAGGTGTGGTGGCGCGCATGTTGCGAGTGTGTTCGAGGAAGCGAGTGGTCGAACGACAGGACGTGAGCGGAAGGGGAGTGGTGAGGCGAAACTGGCGAAAGGGAGTGGAGAGTGCGCGCGCGCGGCGCGAGTCTGGACGGCCATTGCGAATAACTTGTACGAAGCTGCGAGCGCGATTCCGTGTCGTACGGCACACAAGTGAAAAATTTCGGTGAACCGACGTTTATCTCCGTATTAAAGTGCCCCGTGTCAAGTTTGGAACGCGCACGACACTCCGGCCCGATGGCTGAGACCGACAAATTGAACATCGACAACATCATAGCTCGTCTCTTGGAAGGTAAAGCTGTTCGATCGCTGTAGTACGCTGGTCGCTACGTAGAAGCGAAAGGGTGGGAGAGCGAACATCGCTCGCTCGGCTCGCCCGTCTCCCTAACTCCCTCCCCCCCCTCCCCCGCTTGTGTGTTACTCCCTTCATCCCCGCGCGTTACATCCTTCGCGTCTGCTATCTTTCTCGCTATGCTCTCAGATGCCACAATGATGCCCGGTCTCTCTTTTCTTTATCTCTCTCTGTCAGTCTCTCACTCTCTCACTCACATGCACGCACGCACACTACTCAAGGGCATATCGAAACGCCATCCCGACCATTATCTCGGTCCCGTCGGCGTTACGCAATGTCCTCGAAAATGATAAACGCCTTCCGATCGACCTCGTCATCGAACGGCACGCGCATTAGTTTGTTTACAAAAATGCGCATTTGACAATGCCCTACACGTACTATACGCCTCGTCGCGGTTCTGGGCGAGGTCCTGCCAACCGTACGGCGAAGAGAATCCTGTAATAAGATTCGGGAGAGTACTGTCTTAGGCCAAGCCATTTTGTCTCGTTATTACTTTAGAAAAGCATTCATCACAAGCGTGAAAAAGTTTCAAATAAGACAGATGTTCTCTCTCTCTCTCTCTCTCTCTCTCTCTCTCTCTTCCTCCCCCCTCCCTCCTTCAAGATAAGATTCTTATTTATATACTGTTACGTTATCTTTTCATATAACTTGTGCTTTTTAAATGTCCGATTCTGTAAATTCTTTGAAGCTTTAACGTTAGAATATGAGAATATATCTATTGAGATATAAAGTGATTTATACCATAAAGTGATTTATCGTTATATATATTTTTCAAAAATATGAAATTGTTCATCTCTAATTTGCATATACTTATTCTTGTAGAAAAATACTAAAGATAAGGAAATAGATTATCTCGGACAATATTTGCAATACTATAGTAACACGAGAATGACTAACAAAAAGATTTGACACTTTCGTTCTTTTATCAAAAGATTTTAGTAATTATGTTAGAAAAGATAGGAGATAAAATAAAATTACGCTTGCAATACATATGATTTTCACATAAACATTCTTTTTACATCGTTTAGTACGAGGAGCAAGACCAGGTAAAAATGTTCAGTTGACAGAAGTGGAGATTAGAGGACTGTGTCTCAAGTCACGTGAAATCTTTCTATCACAACCCATCCTTTTAGAACTCGAAGCACCATTGAAAATATGTGGTAAGCAAATAAACACGCATCAATGCATATAAACTGTATCAAATTACAATTCCAAGGAAAACCACATTTATATAATTTTGATGATATTTAGTAATATTGACTTTATCATTGATATTGTACAATTTTGTTCGTAAGGTGATATTCATGGACAATATTATGATTTGTTGCGATTGTTCGAGTACGGTGGTTTTCCTCCCGAAAGCAACTACCTTTTCTTAGGAGATTACGTTGATAGAGGGAAACAATCGTTGGAGACTATTTGTCTCCTTCTTGCCTATAAAATCAAGTATCCAGAAAATTTTTTCTTGTTAAGAGGAAATCATGAATGCGCGTCCATTAATAGGATATATGGATTTTATGATGAATGTAAGTATTATATATGTATATTACACAAATATTTTCTCATGATATTCTTTTTACGGTTGTTGGCTCATCTTGCTATTTCGACTAATAAAATTATATTTTAGGTAAACGTCGTTACAACATTAAACTATGGAAAACGTTTACCGATTGCTTCAATTGCCTACCTGTTGCTGCGATAGTAGACGAGAAAATATTTTGCTGCCATGGAGGCTTGAGTCCAGATCTGCAAAGCATGGAACAGATCAGACGTATCATGCGACCGACAGATGTACCTGATCAGGGATTACTCTGTGATTTATTGTGGTCTGATCCCGATAAAGACACTATGGGTTGGGGCGAAAATGATCGCGGTGTATCGTTCACTTTCGGCGCAGAAGTCGTTGCCAAGTTTTTGCACAAGCATGATTTTGATCTTATATGCCGTGCGCATCAGGTAAAAAGATTTTTAATATACATATATGTATATTGGTCACGTACTTTGTTCACGAGATGCTTCTTAAATGAAAAATTATTTTTCAGGTGGTGGAAGATGGTTACGAATTTTTTGCCAAACGACAGTTGGTGACTCTGTTCTCGGCTCCGAACTACTGCGGCGAGTTTGACAATGCAGGTGCCATGATGTCGGTGGACGAGACTCTCATGTGCAGTTTCCAAATTTTAAAACCGGCCGATAAGAGGAAATTCACTTACGGTGGTCTCAATGCTGGACGACCTGTGACGCCACCGCGGGGTGCGAACAACAAAAATAAGAAGAAGTGAAGTCCTTAGATTTATCTTATCGAATGCAATGCTTAGGACTGCTACCGCCCAACCCGACATCTATCGAGACATTAAGACCTTGTGTGTGAGAGAGAGAGAGAGAAAGAGAGAGAGAGAGAGATGAGTTATAATAATAATTATTATTATATTATTTTTGATTGACTACGAAGCCTGTGTGGAAATAATTACATCTTATCGGAAAATCCGGAGGGGCGTTGCTTTTCACAGAGTTTATCAAAAGTAGTAAGTAATAGTGCATATGTTGTAGCTAAATGTGTTACCGTATAAAACAAAATAGTAGTGATGAAATCAATCGATCGATCATAAAATTAGAGAGAATTTTACGTCGTGGTTTTCACGACATTCTTAACAATTGAAAAGTAAAAAGTAGAAAGAAAGAAAGACAGGCACTTTCGCTATATAATTCGTCTTTCCTATTCGTCAATCGTAACATCTACATCTTGTAGCTTGTTCATCGTTTGCATTTACACTCGTCAAGTGTCTGATTAATCGAGAAAAGACGTGACATTTTTTTTTATCACTTTACGCTGTGAAAAAAATCGATATGATAATTGTGTCACACATATACGCATACACTCACGTGCACGCTCTCGTTTCATTATGTAAGTATGCTGTTAACGAAGATATCGATACACAAATAATAAAGTAGCCATCATCTAGACTTAATTCCCTAAAGTATAATAGATATTTATAGCTTGGTACTTGTGTAAGTTGCACAAATTTGTAAACGACATCTATTACGTCATACCTACTTTTATAAATATACATTTATATATGTGTGAATTGTGAGATACAGAGAGAGAGAAAGAGAGAGAGAGAGAGAGAGACGAGATTTTGTTTCAAGAGCAAATGTGTCGAAGTATTAACGGATTACTAATATACACATTATATTGTCTCGCGATGAACGGGAATATTTATATCGCAGTTATTATGGTGGCAAAGCTTCTCTGGATTATTTTAATTTTAACGATGCTACAATATCTCCATATATAAACGGGGAGAAGGTTTTAATCATGTGGTGTAAATGAGCACATGCGCATCATATAACGATTGATGTCATTGATGATAGGCGATTCTAATTTTCGAAATAATACGAAAAGGAAGAAACCTTTTGTAGTTGGAGCATTTTTCATCACCCGCTCGTGACAGTCCTATAACAGGATCATTACTATTGTTAATAACACACACACACACACACACACACACACACCACACACACACACCCACACACACCTCTCTTCTTTTTCTCTCGCTCCCCTACATTCATTCACATTCGTTTTATTCACTTTCCCTTTTTTATTCCACTCCTAAATGGTCTTATTAACCACAATTGACCACAATGCACAGATTCATCATCGATAGTACGGAAGAAAAACACGATAGCTACGAAAAACTTATCTGACGCGAGGATTTTATCATGGGATCTTGAGATCGATCATGTTTAGCTTCCTTTTCTTCATACTTGTACATTTCTTTTTTATAAATAAAATTCACATAAAAACATGTATCATATTTCTTTAGTCGATGTATCACATCCATCATCCCGACGCGACCATTTCTCACATGCGTGAATTGGATTGAGTTTTATTCGCTCCAAAGTCTATCCTTGAAGCGAGTAATTGCGTGCGTGCGACGTGTCGCTCTTGATCTCGTTCATCACGAATATCTCGTACGTATATGTATCAAACGAACGCATAACAGGTACTATTTATAATATGTATATAATATTGTACGCGTACGCTCGTGACATTTGTTTATTCTTGTATTCTTGTATGTGTATCCGCTCGTGGAAGATACATCTATTATGTATATAATGAGAGTAGTTCCAAGTTTGCTATTAATCTCGCCATGTTCAGTTGGATTGTTCTGGCAGATGTAACTTTACTTATGTCGAATTCAGAGAGAGAGAGACGTATATGTACAAGGGCTAAACCGGTAACACCAATCGTTATTAAGCTCCTTGCGACGCACTTTCGTTAGCGTTAGTTGTACTTTGTAATTCCAGAGAGTTCAATTTAAATACAGTGAACAATATTAAGATCAATATTGATCAGCAAGTAAAATGTCTAGTCTAGTTGCGTAATAAAACTTTTTTTTAATGGAGTACACTGGAGCGAGAAAAGGAAGAAGACAGCAACAAAACAAGAGAAAAAAAGGAAGGCATAGGGACCGTTAATTAAAATAATTCAACTTTCCGATATTCAAAGCCTGTATAAAAGTATATATCAATCGTAGCTCGATCTTTGTTTCACTCCAAGTATCGTAGGTACAAATGATAAATTTAGCCAAAAATAAAATCAACGAGCCGGCCAAGATTTTCGACTTGTTTACCTTTCTAAATAATTATAACAAATAATTATTCTACTTGTTGATAATCATTCTCGTTTAAGCGTCATTAACAGTTATGTATATTAATAGTATTGTATTTATTAATAATCAATCACAAAAGTGGAGACGCGCCCGCGCCCGCGCTTCGAAATTAAAGATCAAAAGGGAGTATGTCAAAAGCACTGTTTCATGCACAAACGAAATTGTTACTTAGGAAGCTGTTGAATAAAATGTCGCGAGATGCAAAACGAAACGCCAAAAGTATCGTGAAGGGGAGAAGTGAAAGCACGTTATGCGATCTAAGATTGTAAGAGCATATTAGTCACCGAGAATTGTGCAAACCAGCGCAAACTCCGCGAGATCCGAGGAGACATAAAAGAAGCACCTTGACGCGCCTTCGTTCGTTTCTTTTTCCAAAAGAAAAGAAAGTATAATATATAATAGAAGAATAATCAAGCTTATCTGCAAACACAGGCGAAATAATTAATTTTAAGAGAAATCGATATGAGTCCATCGCGCGAGATATATCGTACCGATCGTACGTTCTCCATCTTTAAATTTAAAAATATACTTTGGGAATATTTTGAAAATTTTCAAGACCTTCAACGTTTCCTTCTTTTCGATAACATGTATGTACTTACCATATTTTTCACGAAATTGATTCTTCTTTTGCAATAACATTCATCGATATAAGTTAATGATTTTTAATTATTAATGTATAGATGAGAAACTATTCTATGCAGAAAAACGAAAAAATATTTACATATTTTAATTCTCCATTTGTTTTATCAATTATTTATATCATGTCTGCATTTATACACAGTATATGTATATAAAGGTTCCGATTTCATGGCATTTGTTCAAAATGCTAAGATCGAAATCGAGGTCGTGAGAATAAAAAATACTTTTTCTCTTGCACGTGCTACCAAAATGGTTGGTCTAAAAAGTTTTATATATATATATATATATAGATAAAGTATAAAATAATAACGATCTTATACATTGAAAATACTTAAAAAAAAGCTTTCGTTTCCGACAATGAAAATTTATATTAAAATATATTATTACACACACATACACACACATTAATATATTATACAATATTGATAGATAGCAGAATTTATGTGAATGTTGAAGCGAGAGCATGCACGAGCATGCATCATGTGGATCTATGAATGAAAAATGTTACAATATATAGTTATACTATATTTCATTCGGCACTATACAACTGTACGTAGTATACAAGTATTATTAAATAACTCTGTGAAAAGAAAAGAATTTGTGACTGAATTGAAGACTGCATACCTCAATTTAGCCCTTTTTGGAGTTGCTTCCTTTCTCTCTCTCTCTCTCTCTCTCTCTCTCTCTCTCTCTCTCTCCCAATTTTTTAAGTTGAATGCTTCGAAAGCAAGCATTTGTGTGAGGAAAAAAAATTGTTCATTTTAAATTGATTTTTTCACCTAGAATCGTCGCATTCTCCCTTTCTTCCCGATTGCGCTCTCGATAATTTAAAAGAGGACGTTGTATGTGAGAAGCTGTATGTAATATGTATGTACATAAAATAGAAATATTTATTCTCGGGTGGCAAGAATGGAAAGGCCCATTCCTGAGTCCATTGCACCTACCTACCTATCTATCTACCTACCTACCTACCTACCGCTGACACATTTCTGGCTCGGCGAGAATAAGGCGAAGAAGGCGAAGAAGGCGAAGAAGGCTCCGCCTTCTTGCATCGAAGAAGAGTTAGGCTACAAGATTCGTGCAGCATCCCATTGCCGTCCAACCGGCAGCCGTCAGCGTGGGTGCCGGTGACGCCGGTGTAGGAGGATCCTCGGAGAAGCCCTCCTCTCTTCCCCTCGCGTCCCTCCCTACGTCGCTCTCGTTTCATCCTTCTTCTTCTGGGACGGTTCTCCAAATGCAAGCGGAGCCAAGAGATCGAGACGGAACGAAAAGTTGTCGGAGAGAGAGAACGAACGATGTCGCGATGATAAGCAGCTAGAGCGGGGTAGTCGCCTCGGGCGAGTTCTTTCCGATTCATCCGGGATTCGCGTGGCGCGACGCGGCGCGGCTTTGAACGGCTTTGAGCGTCCTTGTCAACGTCCGGACACGGAGGTGAGGACAAGTCCTGTTGACGGCAAAGCGAAACGGTCTCCGTCTCGACGATGCCGAGACGTCGGGTATTCGTCGGGCACTCGGTCGAGATCGGAACGCCGGTGTCACGGCGGCGCCCGCTGAAATCACGGTCGGATCTTCTTTCAATGGGAAGCCGCTGAGAAGAAATCCAAATCCGCTTGTTTCGCATTTACGTTATATACCCACGACATTATAAATAACGTGATTCGTAACGGATGGGAGGGGTAGGAATTAAAACGCGAGACTTTCCTACATCCTGATGAAAGCTCGCTCTCGAAAGCGGATTACCGAGATGCCGATATACGCGCGGATGAGGTCGTGCAGATTATCCGAACAATGATCTTCAATTAAAGTGCGCGTCTTCTGATCGGTCCAAGCGTTCACACTTTCGAGTGGGAATCGGTCCATGTTCCAAGACTTTCAAGGATAGCTACTATATATGATGATGAAATTAATCCGCGAGTGCGAATGGTGTCGTCTTGCGTTATTAAATCTTTCGTTACGTTCATGGAAATGTCCAAGGATCGTGCACCACAAGGCGCACCAAGTTGAAGTAAAGTTCGCGATATGGATTCACGTGGATAATTTGTATCTTTCCGTCACGTAATCAATACTAATTGTAATAATTGACATCCATCGATGACCGCCGATTTGACGATGCAATCGCAACATCACGAGCAACGGCGCGAAATCGCCGCCGATAATTGCTGCTACCAGCAATGGTCGGCGCATCATTATCACCATCATCATCATCATCATCACCAGCAGCAGCAGCAACAGCAACAGCAGCATCTGCTCGCTGTACCGTCGCCCATGCAACAAATGGAAGGTGAACGACAGACAGAAAAAATGTTATTTATTATTAGTCTAAAATTGCGTTACTCGATTTGTTGCTACTTGCAATTAATATTCATAATACGCGGAATGTTTAGGTAATTGTCATCGGTCGCGGCGGTCAAAGCGGCCTTATCTTTCATACTAATTTATATTAATTGTTGCATTTTGCACATAGGTAGTATTCTTTAGGGATGCACCGGATATCCGAAAAATATCCGGTATCCGATATTATCCGGCATTTTTTTTACTATCCGACCGGATAATCGGATATCATTAGAGTATCTCCGGCAAAGCTAGGTATTTTTGCATTTAAAATGCCATTTAAAATGTAATTCTATTTAAAATGCTAAATGTAAAATACTTAAAAAAAAATGTATATTAAAATGTATGTAGGAAAAAC